ACAAGGACCCTCCTCCTTAGCACTACCCTTAATCAATCTATTACACTTTTTTTTTTACGAGTTTAGGATCCATTTTTAATAATAAATAGTTAAAATCACAACAAATATCAGCACAAATATATCAAAAATAAATGTGAAAATTAATATGAATGCTAGAACGTTAATTAGAGATAGAGAGAGATATGAGAGTTTTGTGTGAAACTTGAAAGAATGAAATGGAATACTTATAGTTTTAAAATAGGACCAAAGTGTATTTGGACAAACTTAGAGGTTAAAAACATAAATTAGGGGGTAGGGGTTGTTAGGGGCTAGGGAGGCAATAATAGCCATTTTTGGCCGTTGAAATAATCATTGGCTAACGGTGCGAAAACGATTACATTTTTAAAAAATATAGAAAAGACGGGTCCGGTACCTTAATGGTACTAACTAGACTAGTACTAAGGGTATTTTTTCCGGTACCCTCCTATTACCCTTACCATTTACTCAAATCTCTCACCCCTACCCCCAATCTGGACCTGTACGGTGCGATACGGGTATCGGTACAGACCGGTACGGGTACGGGTAATACCCTCCCCTTAGACCGCCCTAGACATGACCCTCGGTATGAGGGTGTGGAGGTTAAAAATTAGGTAGAAGTTAGTAGGTAGGCGAGTGTTTTTTTTTTCAAACCAGTAGTATTAGTGCTAGTCTTGTGTTTTCTTATTCTTATATTTTGATTGCTACATGTTGTTTCTTTCGCTTCAGTTTTTAATCTTTTCTTGAGCCGAGGGTATATTATTATAAATAACTTCTCTATCTTCTCAAGATAGGGGTAAGATTACGTACATACTATCATGCCCAAACTCCACTTGTGAGATTACACAGGGTTTATTATTATTAAAAATTAGTGTCTAGAACTCATCATTTTCCTAGTGTCATGTCATTTATTCATCTACTTTCTCATGGCTTCTAAATTTAGCAAGAACTCTCCTTCACAGAAGAAAGAAAACCATTTTTTCTCATTGAACTGATCAGATGACTCTGAAACTAATTATTTGAGGAAACTATAATTTTATAGTATCAAATTCATGAGGAGTCCCGTACTAAAACAACTCATGCTTTACACGAATAAATTAATTGCTGAAATGAAAGAACATAATTGTCTGTGCTACAAACCTCTAGATTGCAATCTGCAGGAAAATTGAAATCAACAATACATGAAAAATTTTAAAAAAGAAGGTGCTCAGTGGACGGTTGAAAATGGATTTTGGTTTGGGAGACTTTCTATATTAAGAATTAGTGTAATTGACGATTCAACTTATTAAATCGTTGACTGAGTAATTTTTTTCAAACTTATAAGTAAAATGGAGTATAATTTATACCAAAAACGGTATTTACATCATGCATATCATCATTCTATTAATCCAAAATGACAAGTAAGATGTTAGCATTAGTTTTACGTAGCGTATCTGATTTGGTAGGTATAATTATATCATCCATTTTCTCCTTCTTCCAACAACTTTAAGAAATCTATTACTATTGACTAGAGTTCATCAACGAAAATGGCTGCTCCGCCATTGCAGGAGAATGGTTAAGCAGCTTTCTTGAAAATCACAAATTCATAGCTAGGAATGTTTCAGCCACCAATTATTTAATTAAGTTGAGTAACATTCCTTGCTTGTAATTTGTAAATAGTGGTTTTAGAATAATTAATCCTTTTTTTTTTCAAATCTCACGTACGTCAACTATAGTTATATTATACGTTAATGCTCGATCGTTAATTATATAAATCATCAATATTAAATCAAGCAATATTCTTGAGCAGTGACAGTTCTATATGAAAACAAGGAGTTCAACTGAACCCTCTTCACCAGAAACATTTACTCCTATACTATTTATCAGGGGCGGACCCACCTAGTGTCAAGGGGTTTACTTGAACCTGCTTCGTCGAAAAATTATATTGTGTATATTCATAAATTATATATTAAAAAGAGGAAAATTACTGTACAAAATATAATTTGAACTCGCAAACCAAACAAGAGATGTCAACCGCACTAGGCACGCCCGGTGCGACGAGCTCTAACTGAGGAGGATGCTGGTGAGGGGAATCGATCCCAGATCTCCTACGTGGGAAACCGCTCACCCAACTAACTCAGCCAACCCTAACGGGCAGAATTTTGAACTCATGAACAACACATCACTTTAATTATACTCCACTAATCTTGACTGCATGCAAAGGTTACGTGAAGGGTGAACAACTTAGACCTTAATCAATATTCAAGATCAGCAGCAAATTAATTAAAAGTCAGCCACCAATCCTTTGACCTTAATTCTCGGCTGCCGGCGTGCCTCCATTCATTAAGGAAGAAACCTTCATTATAAAGCTTAGTTATGTGTGTGCTTTTACCTTTACTTTCAAATATTTCTTAATTAATTTACTAATTAACTTTATTCTTTGCACCCCCATCGAGACAGGGGTGTTTGAACAATTTAATGCACATGGATGCTGCTTCATTGATAATCAAATTTCATGTTATATTTCTCCTACTAGTTTGTTCTAATAGTAATTCAACTTTAACCATGGCTGCCAATGACTCTAATTCAGGAGGAGTTACGAACTTTTCTACGGCCATTCTTATTAGAGTTGACCAATCTGGTCAAGGAGATTTCAAGAAAATTCAAGATGCTATTGATGCTGTTCCATCGAATAACTCTGAATTATTCTTTATTTGGGTTAAGCCTGGGACTTATAGGTTTGTGTTTATCATTTTGTAACTTTATAGTATCTTGTATTTTTACATGTTATAATAGGTAATTATTTGTCTTAATATTTTTCCATGTTACTAATCTTTTCTTATGTGCGGTCACACGTAGTTATCATTTAGGTAGCTTGATGATGTAAAAATTATAGATGTTAAAATAAAAATAAAAAACTTATCTATTTTTCATGGAGCAGAGAGAAGATTGTGGTTCCTGGTGATAAGCCATTCATAACGTTGAGTGGAACTGAGGCATCTAACACCATAATTACATGGAGTGAAGGTGGAGATATTACTGATTCTCCTACACTAACTGTATTAGCTTCCGATTTTGTTGCAAGATATCTAACAATTCAGGTAACTATTAGTTACTAAAGATTTAATTTTATACGACTACATGTTACACTATTAGGTTATTTTAACATGTTGTAGCAAGTAATTTGCCGTATTTTTCAGGCTACTAATTCCATTTCTTACTATAACAAAAAACATATTTTGATTGTTTTAAATGTAGAATTCATTCGGAACAAGTGGAAAAGCTGTAGCACTAAAGGTTAAAGGAGATAGAGTAGCATTCTATGGATGTAGAATTCAATCGTACCAGGACACTTTGTTAGATGATGCTGGGAGGCATTATTATAGCAACTGCTATATTGAAGGGGCCGTTGATTTCATTTTTGGAAATGCAGCGTCTCTTTATGAAGTAAGTTCTCTCAATGTATTTTAATCTGTTGTAGCACGTAACGCTTGTCTTAATTTTCAAATTGCTAATTCCATTTAGTTTGTGTGGTTGACCTGTAATATCTTTTACATGACCTAATAGATAAAAAAGTTAATTACATTATGAATGTACATAAGTTAAACTCTTTTACTTCAGAGTAAAGTATATGGTGTGTAGTGATTAATTTGGATTATTTGGCAGAGATGCCACATTCATTCAGTTGCAGCAGGAGCAATAACTGCTCAAGGAAGAGAGTCCCCTTTAGAAAATACAGGATTTACGTTTATGGGTTGCAAGATAACAGGGACAGGAGGGAGTACTGCATTAGGAAGGCCATGGGGTTCATATTCAAGGGTGGTATTTGCCTACACATTTATGTCCTCTATCATACAGCCTGAGGGATGGAATGACTGGGGAGATTCTAGCAAGCAAAGGTAATATTTGTATGTATTCATAGATAGTGACATTGAATAAATATTGGTAGTTTATTTCAAGGATTGAGAATCACTTGTTTTATTAAAAAAAAAAATAATCTATATACACAGAGGTAGGGGTAGGGGTAGGGGAAGGGGAAATAGGAGAGGGGAATCAGGTGGGAAATCAAACCGTCACCAAAATGAAAGTTCAGATAGCCAGCCAACCAACTGAGCTACTAAGATTATATTACACTTTTTTTTCTCGTATTGGCATATGCTATTTTTAGGTAACAAATGAGAATTCTAGCAATATTAGTAGTTTTATTTGGGGTTTTAAAAATAACACACCAAAAATTAATCGAACCTAACCGAAACTATAGAAAAATCGAGATGATTTAGACGGTACAAACTAAATCAAAAGTTGGAGTTAGACTCTCAAATGTTATCTCTATGTTCTTTTCTTTTTTTGGCAGCACTGCATACTATGGTGAATACAAGTGCTATGGAGCAGGGGCTAATAGATCAAAGAGAGTGGGGTGGTCACGTAGCCTATCGAATGAGGAAGCTGCACCATTTCTGACCAAGAATATGATCGGAGGGCGAAGTTGGTTAAGGCCTGCGCCTACCCATTTCAAGAGACGTTCAACTATTGTCACTCCCACTGGAGAAAACTAAAAGCAACTACGCCATCACTATATATATCAAGAAAAGAAGACTCAAGATTGATTCCAGCTGATCACTTTTGAAATTTTCCTTCTTTAGTTGTTAAAATTGATTTCTTGAGGCCTTATATATCTCGTAGCTAGAAACTCTTTCACGTACCTCCAAGAGATATTCAGTGTAAATACGATTATTCGCCATATCTTAGAGTATACATGCTTTTCCAATTTCAGTAGCTGCAGTTCGGGAGGTGGTGCTATAGAAAAAGAGGAACAGTACTAACTATTAATTCATCACCTCGTCACAACTTGATTGACTTTCAAGGTCAAATGTTGTAGCTAATTTGAATGGACAGCATAAAATATGAAACCAATGAGTTTATATCTTATAGTCGTCCTTCCAACACTGGCCTTGTAAATGACATCACAAAATACAAAATGATGAAGAACTAAGGGGTAGCAGGGACAAGGCAAAAATCTTGATCACATTCAATAATTCCCAATCTCAAAATGTAATGTAGGAGTATCATTTTCAATCTATTTTACATATAAGCAGTTGATGAACAGAAATCATCAAAATCCAAATAGCCTTTCGGACAAACAAAAGAAAGCACAATATACTCAAAAGAATAGACAAATAGGAAGTAAAACTGATAGAAAGTCCAAAGCATTTCAACCTGAATTCAAAATAGAATTGCAATAAGGCATAGCAACAAGAAAACCAGCACCACCGCGCCAATCCAACAAGCCCAAGTCCTCCTCCTCTTCATCCGTTTAGCGCGATCTAGCTCCTTCATCCCATCATTCACATATCCACCAGCATTGACCACATTTTGCTCAATATTATTCATTTGATCACCTTGTGTCTCAACCATAACAGCCATATCAAGAAACACTTGGTGCAGCTCAATCAAACTCTTTTGTATCTCCTTTACAGCTTCATGCCTTTGCTCCTTTTCTACTTTCCCCTCAAAAATCCTTTCCTGCATCATCTTTTCAATCGCTTCCTCACTCGGTTCCTCCCCGTTAGCACTACAGTACTGTCTCCTTAAACCTTCTTTATGTTCTGCTACAATGTTTTCCCTTAGGCATTGAAAATCATTCATCATATCCCTCAGTTTATTTCTCAAACCATTAGTCACTGAAATCCTCGTTCTATCAACCGAGCTTCCCTCTTTATACGCGCCACGATTTTCAAGATTGGATTTATCAAGCAATTCAAGTCTTGTTTTGATGATTTTCGCCTTCCTAAGAACAGTGATAATGTCAGAGTTAATCTGATCTCTAAGGCCTTGAAGAATTTTAGTACTCGGGGCTGACTTGGTTTTTACATTAAGATCTTGAAGATTGAAAAGAAGATTGTTAATCTCCTCCATATCAGACTTAATAGCAGCAACTTCTTCAAAGAATTTTGAGAGGTTTCTTTCATCAGCCGGGTCGAGTTGACCCATTTCAATATCAGGCCCCGCTTCAAGGTCTAACATCGCCTGCTTCTTCAAATCCACGTAACTTAAGAACGATTTCGTCATGAGATCGTTCATCTTTGCGACAATTCAGCAAACACCTAGATAGAGAAAAGAGCTGAGATATCAAATTCTGTCCCTAATCCTAAAATAATTCAAGAAAATTCCAATTTTGTGATTTTCCGAGTTTTTCTTTTCAGTTACTACAAAATTTCCTTAGAAAACAAAGACAGATAACAAGTAAGCAAATACTAAGTTGGGATCGGCTATATAAATCGTCCGCATACATTCTCGACATTTGGACCACAAACATTGTACCCTCAATTTTTCTTACATTCTCTAGTTTTCAGTTTCAAAGTTACGAGTAATTCCAAAATTGGGGTACCTAAAAACAGCAATAGAACAGCATTTCTAAGTACTAAAAAACATCAAAAATAACAAAAACAAGTTGCAGCCATTTATTTGAATTATCAATGCCCATTTTTGGTACTACCCAATTCAGCAAAGGAATACTAACATTTATTGAAATTTAAAAATTTAAAACCATAAAAGAAAAAAATAGAAGTTTATGATGAAAGATTGCAGGGTAAAGAAAAGAAGAGCACCTTTTGGAATTCCCAAAGAGTGTGAGAAATGAGAGAGTGAAGAATTTGGGGTGATTTAAGGGTTAATTCAAAAACCGTGGCTTCCTTTAAAGTTTTGGCCTCTGTTTTCAAATTAGAAGTTGATAAAGAAGGAAGAGAGGAAATATAGCCGTTGTGTTTCGTAACGTAATTAGGCTAAGGCTCGCAACGGTAAATCTCCACATTTGGAAAGTTATTGATAAATTTTCTATTTAATTTTTGTGAGAATAAGTTCTTTTTTAACTTAATATGTTATTGAAAAATGAATTACTTGAATTTGTATAAAGCAAGAGTCGATTGATACTTAAAATGGATAGTAACTAAAACACGTCGCGACCAAATAATTAAAGAATTTAAATTTCATGCACCGACAGTGTGTAATGTTTTTACGCTATAAAAATATTACATGTAATTGTTATAAAAATAAAATTAGTAAACTCGAAAACAAAAAATAATTGTTACATGCTGCAACAAATTAAAATAGATTGATAGTGTAAAAAAAAACTTACATTTGTCCATATATATGTTAAATCCTTAATTAAATTGATCAAGATGGTTACCTTTGATACTCTAAACTTTGACATTAAAGTTTACCCATTTTCGTTTGGTAAATAAAGAAAATGTAAATAGTCAATAAACATTGTCCTTAAATGGCATTTTAAAAGTTATAAAATGGGTACCTAGATGAAGGATATTTTACCCATTTTCGTTTGGTGAATGAAATATCTTTATCTTCATCAAAATTCTCAATTTATTAACGTAAAATATCTATTACAGCGATGATAAGAACAAGAAACAGTGCTAACTCTGCATACCGACATGTTTATCTCACCATATTTTTGTCAAGTTAAGACGTAAATAGTCAAGTTATAATTATGAAATAAAGTGTAAATATCAATTTTGAGTATGTGACAACATACAATCCACTTATCAATATACCGGGAGAGGAAATTTGTTTCCGGCACTCTCTTTTCATTATCAATTTCTTTTCGGCTTTTGCACTTTGTAGCAGGCGAGCAAAAGGTTACGTTCAAATCGCCGATCTCAATAGCTTTCGTCCAAATTTTATATTTATATTAAGAAATTTATTAAATATATATAATAACTAAAGTTTAAAATTTAATTAGTAACACATAATATTATTATTTTAAAATTTAAAACTCATAAAATTCAAATCCTCAACTCTCGTATGAAAGCCTGGAAATTGCTTGGTTTGTTGACATATAATCAATTAACTTGGCCATTTGGACTAAAGTTAATGACGTTTTTTAATGAGTAACTATTTCAGGTCGCCATTTCTGCATGCGACCTACTCTTAAATAAGTTTTGCCCCGGCATCAAACTTTGGCAATTGCCCATTTCAATAACCTTTCCTCTACGCTTGTTTCCTTTATCCCAATCGATGTGGGAATACTAGCCAAGAAAAAAATTAGTTTTAGTTTTCGTCAATAGACTACTGGAAGCAAGCATTTTGTAAAAGCTATGGCCAATTTAGCTTTGAAATTGAATTTTGAGAACACATTTCTAGTTGGGAAAATGACATTATATAGCCGCTCTTAAAATAATAGCCAGAAATATATATATATATATATATATATATATATATATATATGCACACACATTATGTATGTTTATACAAAATTACAAATTTTATATAATTTTTTGACTACCAAATATAAGCTAGCGTTTGGCCATAGATCCCAAATTTATTTTGAAAAATCTGATTTGGGTGAAGTTTGGTTTGAAGATGAAAATGTGTTTGGACATACGATTTCAAAACATATTTTTCAACTTTATTTTGGGAAACATGTATATAATTCCCAAGTTTTGGAAATTTGGCCCAAATTCAGCTTAGATTTCAAATATGTGATTTGAGCTTTGGCCAAAATGTGGGTCAAATATATGGCCAAACATGGGATTTAAAAATAAATTTCAAATTAAATTTGGGAAAATGTATGGCCAAACAGGGGCTAAATGTTTTCTGACAAGGGCTAAAAATAAAAAAGCCATACCTATTACTAGTATCATAGATTGCCCACCCTAATTTTGAAATTGTCAAAAGGAGTACATATTGACAACTCAAATTTTCTATACACAGTTATAAGTATATAATTTGTCTTCTAAAGTTATTAATAGTTAAAAATATTTATACAGTCATTACATAAACCTAAACCAAATAAAAAAGATTTGAACTTTATTTAGTAAAATGTTGTAAAACAAATTGTCTCTATATGTGCAATATAAATGATTTTGACAACTTACTTTACCGGTTTACCATACTTCCCAAATTATGTACAAAGTATCAATTGATAAAAATTTACTCGCACATCTTATTATTAAATCATAATTAATTAATACATATTGTCACCTTAATTTATAACTTAACCATAGTAACTTAGTGCTCTAATTTAGTGTAAAGACCCGATATAAGTAAAATTTATAAGTATCAATTAATGCTTATCTATAGATTTATTTTAAACCTTGATTAAAAAAACTAAAAGATGAGTATTGGCGTAACCGGTAAAGTTATTGTCATGTGACTAGGAGGCCACGAGTTCAAGTTGTTAAAACAGCACTCCCTCTGATCCAAAATAAATGATTTTTTGGTTGTTTTCACACAAATTGAGAAATTCAACTTTAACATTAATTAGCAATGAAATTGATCATATTAACCTTTACTATCTCTTCACATAAACACTCCTAACACATACTCCAACACTATTTACTACATGGGCAATGTAGGAAAAAAATTAATTAATTCATTTTAAAATATGAAAAAATCACTTATTTTGAACCACAAAAAAAGAGCCAAAAAATAAGTAATTGTGCACCGGAGGGAGTATGTTGCAAAAGTTTTCCTTACATTTACCAATGCATAAATATTAAAGGCGGCCAATATTAAACCTCCCATGAAAATTGGAAACCTCAAAGCCGTTGACGAAGTACCAGCTGAACCCCAGATCGGAAACTCAGAAAAAAAGCTTGTCCGATCTGACGGAGTCTTAAAAACTGATGACGGCAGATTTCAGTTTGAGAAATTGGGGTAAAAATTTTGGCCCCAACAACATTCTCAACGGCCGATGGTTCACAGTTTTTGCTTCAATCTTGATCTTGTCAGTTTCTGGTGGCACTTACTTATTTGGTCTTTATTCACAACATGTTAAATCTTCATTGGGTTATGACCAAACAACCTTAAATTTGTTGAGCTTTTTTAAGGATGTTGGTGCTAACGTAGGAATTATAGCTGGGTTAATTAATGAAGTTTGTCCGCCTTGGGTTGTTCTTTTAATTGGATCAGTGATGAATTTTTCAGGGTACATTTACTTGTGGTTAGCAGTCAACGGTGATGAATTAGTCAAACCACAGGTTTGGCAAATGTGTTTATGTTTAATGATTGGTGCTAATTCTCAGACTTTTACTAATACTGGTGCTTTAGTTACTTGTGTTAAGAATTTCCCTGAAAGTAGGGGAATTGTAATTGGATTATTAAAGGGTTTTGTTGGTTTAAGTGGTGCAATTATAACACAGTTATTTCATGCATTTTATGGGAATGATGGGAAATATTTAGTCTTGCTTATTGCTTGGCTTCCTCCATTTGTTTGTTGCATTTTGCTTAAATATGTTAGGGTTATGAAAGTCATTAATCGTCAAGAAAATGAGGTCAAGATTTTCTATCAACTTCTTTACATATCACTCGGTCTAGCTGGATTTCTGTTGATGATCACTATTTTGCAGAATAGGATAGCTTTTAGTTTGGTTGAGTATAGATTGAGTTCTTGTATCGTGCTACTTTTGCTATTTGCGCCTATAATTATTGTAACTAGAGAAGAATTAAAACTCGGGAAGAGCAGGAAACAAATTTTGGATGAGTCTGTGCCGTTGAAAGGAACAGAACAAGTGAAGTTACTTTCAAGAAATCAAGCAAAAGGAGTTTCTTGGTTCAAGAATGTTTTTAAGCCACCAGAGAGAGGCGAAGACTATACAATTTTACAAGCACTTTTGAGCGTTGATATGTTGATTTTGTTTATTACTACTATCTTTGGAGCTGGTGGAACGTTGACAGCTATCGATAACATAGGACAAATTGGTAAAGCATTAGGATATCCTAACACAAGTATTGCAACATTTACTTCACTAGTGAGTATATGGGGTTATCTTGGAAGAGTAGTTTCTGGCTTTGCCTCTGAGATTTTCTTGACAAAGTATAAAGTCCCTCGTCCGTTGATGCTTACTTTGGTGCTTCTTCTATCTTGTTTTGGCCATATTCTTATAGCAATGGGAGTTCCAAGTGTTCTTGAAGTCGCGTTAGCTATACTTGGGTTTTGCTTTGGAGCTATGGCACCTTTGATATTTTCAATCATATCTGAACTCTTTGGCCTAAAACACTATGCTACATTGCTCAATTTTGGCGGTGCAGCTAGCCCAATTGGAGCTTATGTATTCAATGTTAGATTGGTTGGTCATTTTTATGACAAGGAAGCTCTGAAGCAAATGGCAACCTTGGGACTTTTAAGGAAGCCGGGGGACCATTTGACATGCATTGGCACCGACTGCTATAGGCTTTCTTTTCTCATAATTGCTGCAGCAAGTTTTGTAGGGTGTATTGTATCATACATTTTGGTTCTTAGAACAAGAAAGTTCTATAGAGGTGATATATACAAGAAATTTAGGGAGCAAGCATAACTTCTGGAGGCTCAGAGTAAGCTTGGCCAAAGAGTGTATTCTGCCACACATTTTGCATGCTATGATTTATAGCTAGTAGTTTAAGTCCTACTGATCCATTATAGGGGATATGGAATATGAACTCATGTCATACTCTAATACATTATACACAAACAACAAAATAGATTGACTTCTTGACAAATATCTAGGATTATTGGCTCATGATATTTTCTGTTGGAGTTTGGCGCATATAGGTCCTTGTACTGGATTACTTCTGGATGGATTTCATTGAGAAGAAACTTTTTGCAAAACCAGATTATCTCTTGTTCTCTTTTGCAGCTTCTCCTACGCTTCATGTAACATTCTTTTTTCTTTTTACAATTTCTGAAGTTTCTCTCTTCTTTTATTTTTTCTAGACTTTATGCAGCTTTTCTTATGTTCTTTGTAACAAAAGTTACATTATTCATAGCTTCTATACAATTTTACATTGCCCTTTTAATGCTTATCTCTTGCAATAATGGCCTTCAAGCTGAGCAAGAGATGACAATGTAAAAGATTGCATGCTGAATTTAGATGAGCTTAAATGGAATAACATGAACAATGAGAATTCGTATAGTCGACCTCAACTTCACTTGGAATTGAGGCGTGGTTGTTGTTGAGATGAATATGGCTCAATTAGATGCAATAGCCTCAACAAGACAAAACAAAAGTAATGAAGCCACTTCACAAAATACTAGAAACACTATACAAGTAACTCAAGTGGGACACTGACTTGGAACTTGGACAACCAACAGAGGGTGGATGCATAAAATACAGGTTACTAAGGGATGTAAGTTTTATATGCCAATGAAATTCCACTGCTAGTGACTAAAAAAGATCCTTCTCCGTATACATAGCTTCTATTGTAAACAAAGCAATAACTCTGGTTCTCTACGTCCAAAAATTAAACTAATATTACCAGAGATAATCAAGAAAACTGGAAAAGAAAACAATTAAAGAACGCTAACAAACTACAATTGTTTCTCTGTTTTTGGGTCAGAGTTCAATGTAAGTACGAATCACATTAGCCAAAAGATATGCAGCAATCCATCTTGTTCTTTTCTTCTTCCTCCTCCACTTTCTCCAAAACCGGCAAAAGTTCAGTCGGCCCTTGGGCTGCTGCCACTTGTTGATGGCCTTTTCCCAGAATATTTCTGTTGCAATAACAAAAGAAACAATATTAAACACTTCCTCAAAAAGAGAATAGTAACCTAAAGTTGCCTGCATCAGCAGCTCGAATGCTAGTTGAGAGAAAAAACTACTCTTAGCTACTGAGATTACCTGCTTTCCAAGGTTGAATGGGATGTATCTGTATTTGATCATGTGCATAATTTGTCGTCTCATGGTAAGGACAAAAAGAACAATCCAGTAGCACAACAATATAGGCCAGAACACAGGAACATCAAAAAGAGAGAAGAAAGTCATGACAAATGCCACACAGAAAGCCTTTGTTATGGCATACCTGAAAAAAATAAAGGAGCAGTTTATATTGCTGCTACAGCCAAAAGGTTCAAGAAAATACTATAAATGGCCTAAAACATGCATAAAACCTCTCCTATTCTATGTTGACTATATAACAAAAGATACAGGGCAGCTTCACACCCAAACTGGTTAGGGTTGCTTCTTTCCCATAAGGCTGGCTGGGGCTAAATGAATTCTGGTATTTATTCAGGCCTGTCTGATAATGACCGACTGGACGAAAAACAAATCTTCTCCTTTCTTCAAGTCCTGTTTCTTATGCAAAAAGTAAGCCAGCACAAGGTCTTATGCAAAAATGTAGCAGTGTTTCATAACAGGAATTCATGCACAAGGGGCATAAATGACACACCATGTTAATTTTGAGGAGGTGGAAGACCTTCTAAAGGACCACCAAACAGAAGAAATCAAAGTAATAGGCAAAAGATTACAAATAAGCAAGAGCCAAAAGAAAAAAGGATAAATAGCTGTAGGCGCTAGGCTCAATATTCTCTTTAACAACCATGATAGACCTGGGCTAAATATTTCTTTGAAAGGGTTTAGTAACCAATCTGCAATCTCCTGATTCCTGAAGTGCTGATACTCTTATAGGACAGACACATTCATCAAAAATCATACCATAGGCCAGTACACTTTAACCGGTGAAAATTAATCAAAATATCCAAGACCTTGTTGCGCAGGGAAATGGATTTCTGGTGCTACTACTTACGAGATCTTTGAAATACAGATATGGTGCAGCAACTTAGCAATAATGAAAAAGAATTTGTATAAACAGAACCATAATGCAAGGTACAACATAAATGTTGAATATGCTGGGCAGAATTTAGAAACAGCTAAATCTATGGTCATGTTGCTGTTTCGAGGTATAACGAAGATGTTCGTGCTGCCATGTCAAATACTAAAAGCTCCAAGGGACAAAATAAGTACAATGGTGACAGTTATAATTGACAAAAGGCAAATCAATTAACAGTTACTTCAAATGCACATATGCGATGAGGTTCTAATGCATCAATAAATAGTATTCAAAGTTGACCAATAGAAACATTTCACAACGAGATAAAGCAAATTGAAGCAATTCTGGTACAAGATAATACAAAATGGAGAGATAACAACACTTTCTCCTTTGAAATTAGCAAGCAAAACCCATATAAAGCAGGAACTATTACCAGAACTTGAATTCCGGGAGGCGACGTATGAAAGGCTTGAATTCATCTGAACCTTTAGTTGGCAACAATGGTCCATCTGAAGGTTCCGACTCAGGGTCAACAAGAGGTGACAGGAAACCGATCAGCAAATTGAGTATATAGATGCCCAAACCGTAGGTAACAACATAGAATCCTTGAACATAATAAACCCGCAGAGCATAAAGCAATGCTAAGACAAAAGTTCCAATCCACCTATATGTAGCATGAGGAGTAGTTTTATCTAAATAGTATTGGAAAAGTTTTGAAAGTTCAAGCCTCTGTTTGTTCAATGCAGCAGCCGCTGAGGCACCATCACCCTCCATAAAAACTCAACTTCACAATCCTAGAAGTTCCATAAAACAATGCAATAAGATTACACAAGCAAGACATTGTGCTAGACACAGTTAGATGTACATTGCCAACTGAGTGCACTACTTGCTCAAGTTAGGAAACAGAAGAGTTAGGACTTCGAATTCTATAAATGCTTAGACCACTAGGAAATTAACACTAGTAAAACGGCGGATCGCTCGTACCACACACCGCAATATCAATCATTGACACAAGAACAATGATACCACCTTCTTATTACTAGAAAGTTGCAACACCCTCCATGAATTCATTAAAAGGCACCCAACTGTCATACTTTTTTTTTTAAAAATGTAGCTGGCAAATTGACAGGCTAAAACAACAACAACAACAACCCGGTAAAAGTCTCACAAGTGGGGTCTGGGGAGGATAGCGTGTACACAGACCTTACCCCGTAGGGTAGAGAGGTTGTTTCCGAAAGCCCTCGGCTCGAGCAAAAGAAAAGAAACAATAGACAGTAGATGACAGGCTAAAACAAAACCCATAGAAATTACATGTATTCCCTTTCAATGGTAGTTGAAATGCAAGCAAGAAGGAAAAGAAGTTTGCAAGCTCGGATGAAACATCAGTAGAATCCCCTATGTAGGGTCAATTTCGAGTTTTCGACCCAGACATGTGACACATGCCAAATTCGTCCAAACTAGGCGAGCTAGAGTTAGTGATGTACTTATTTAAGATAAAGTTGGTTCAACTTCAGATACTAGTCACAACCCATCATAGTTTTGTGGAAAAAAAAAGGGGGGGAAATTCACTTAAAATGTATGGTTTCATTTTATCATGCAATTATTTTTTACTAAATCAGTTGTGCAGCTAGAATTAAAAGAAAAAAATATAAAATGGAAAAGTGATGATTGATTTTGACGTTGACCAAAGCAAACTTTGGGGAGTTGGGACTTGAACTGACTCACCCCATCATAATTTGATACTCCCTCCGGTTCACAGTAAGTGTCCAATTTGCTTTTAGCACGCCCATTAAGAAAATACTAAATTCTATACAAAAATACCTACCATGACTAAACTCCTAATTAAACATTTAATGTGAGGAGTAAGAAAACTTTTTAGGGATATGTACATAGGGGTTAGTTTGTAAAAACAAATTGAATTCTTTCTTGATTACATAACTGGACACTTATTTTGAACCAAAATGAAAAAGCAAATTGGACACTTATTGTGAACCGGAGGGAGTACCCTATAATCCTCAATTAATAACCTTAAAGTCAAGTTCATTCGGTCCAATGGAACCCAGCTGTAAATTACTATTACAAACGACGCCAAGAAAATAACTCTTAACACATTCTTAATTATCCTAATCATAAAGATACCCAGAGCTAAGATCACATTAAAAAATCATTCCTAAACAAAAAAAAAAAAAAAAAAAGAGGAAAATATATATTCAAACAACAATAAGAATCAGATCCGAAACTAGAAATTAATATAATAAAAGAAAAATCGCCATATGATACGACAATTATGGAAATTTTAGATAAATGTGTGGCAGTCCATGTTAGCTATTCGGGTTAGTAGAAATATTAGGGCTAGAGAATACAAAACGAACATTGAAAAAAATGATAATACAAAAATTACCTTCGCTAACTGAAGATAAGTGAGGAGATTGAGTCTTGGGGAGGGCGGGCAGAGGAGAAATTACGATCGGATCTGTGCTCTTACTTCACTCAAATGGGCCTGCCGACGAACGAGAAATTTTTACTATTACGTATATTTTTTTCAATTGATATTTGTGCTTTGTCCCCCTTTTCACTATTTGTCACTTTATATTCCCCTACGTTTTCCCATTTCTTTTCCTTTTTTCCTTTTACATAATTAATTATATCACTTGTATTTATTTATTATATCACTATGATTGTGAACTCTTTACTGTTAAACACTCTAGACAAAGATTTTATACTTATCCAATTGTAACTAGATTAGTTAATTTGTAGTTTACTACTCCCTTCGGTCCAAAATAAGTGATTTTTTGGCCTTTTTCTTGTGGTCCAAAATAAGTGATTTTTCCAGATTTCAAGAATGAAAAATTAATTATTTTTTCCTATATTGTCCTTGGAGTGAATACTGTTGGAATGTGTGTTAGGAGTGTTTATGTGAGATAGTAAAGGTTAATATGGTCAATTCCATTGCTAATTAATGCTAAAAGGTAGATTTCTTAATCTGTGTGAAAACATCCAAAAAATTACTTATTTTGGACCGGAGGGAGTATACTTTAGTTGGATTAGATATGTAATAACTCCTAATTAATGCATACAGGGGCGGAGCTAGCATAGCACTTGCGGGTTCGGTCGAACCCAGTAACTTTGGTCCAAAACTTGTATTTGTCTTAAAATTTTCATTTAATATGTATATGCTGTTAATTTAGAACCCAGTAACATAAACGAACTAGAATCCTGAACCCATAAGCTTCAAATTCTGGCTCCGCCTCTGAATGACTTAATGCATAATAACAAGCTTATTCAACTTGCCTATATAAAGTAAAATCCGTTGTGAGACCTAATTCTTTTTATTAAAATCTGATTGGTCATGACATTTAAATGTCAAGAATTACATTGTAACTAGCTTTATACGCATTCGGAATGCACATGAACGTTATTTTAATCATCTATGAACAAAAGTTCAAAGCTATTTCAAATAATTTCCACCATTCGAAGAGTTACTTTTATTAGTAAATTACTGATAATAATTATTAGCTTGAGCTTAATTTCGTGAATGTTAGTACTTTTATTTGCTCTTTCCTTTTCTTTCGGAATTGGGAGGGTCCGATTTGTTTGAAAAGCCGAGGGAGACACACAATAAGGTGTAATAAAACTAACCTAATACTTTATTTTATTGTATTGTATAATTGACTAGCTTATGTAATTATTTTTTGTCGGTAGGTCAAATATGTAACTTGTCCAAAAAAAAGATTGAAGTAGAGCTATCAAGATGGGGTACCCAGCCCAATCCAGCCTCGCCCTTCATGGACTTTAGAATTTAATAGCCCATCTCAACCCATCATTTGAATGAGGAATTTTTACATTCCTATTACACTATTTAAGACTTTATTACCCTCCCTATTCAAGTTTCAATTTAATTACATACTATATACAATTTACCAATTCTTTTGTCACGACCCAACCTGATGGGCCGCGACGGGCACCCGGTACCTTACTCAACCGAGTACCAACATAACGTATCTTTTCGTATCATGTTATCATAGGTAAATGCGACGGAAAGGCTGCCGTAGGATAACTAGAATAAAACATGCAATACCAACATAAGACATACAGGCCTATAAGACCAAATGACCACTCGTACACTGAACATAGGCCGACAAGGCCATACAATCTTTTACGTACATGACATATGTCTACAAGCCTCTAAGAGTACACAAATACCATAAAGGTCGGGACAGGGCCCCCCTACTAAACAATACACGTCCAAATCATACTGACCAAATAAGCAACTCCGCAGCAAATGGACACACCAACATCTTTCGTTGAGCTGATAGCCTACCTGGAGGACTCTCGACCTGTCTATCGGGCCCTGCGGACATGAAACGCAGCGTCCCCAGGCAAAAGGGACGTTAGTACGAATAATGTACCGAGTATGTAAGGAATAAAAATTAGTAAATAATAGACATGAGAGAAACATGGAGTAAAAGACTCGACATGTAAGTCATGGATAACTTTGCAAATCATGAAATACTTTTAGTGTCATGCATATGCGTATGAATGTCATGTCGTGCATAGGTACATGTGTTCATAACGTCATCAAACCTCTGAGGGCATCCCATCATATCATCTCGGCCACTGTGGGCAAAATCATCAACGTATACCAGCTGATCAGGTGGTGGTGCGTATATAACGCCGTAACCTTTTTCCATATCCCATATACATATAATATACATATATATGCGTATATAACGCCATCTGGTCATGGGTCAATGTAAATGAATGCAATGCATGAGAAGTACGTCAATAAAATCTTTCGGAACGGCATAAGACCATTATACCTCTGATTAATATCATGAAGTAAACTTTTACAAACTTACGTATTTTCTGAGACCCATGAACAGATGATAGAATAACATTACACATGGGGAATCAAGAACGGAAGCATCTCTAGTATTTCTATGAATAGAGTTATTTATGGAAATTGTGCGTGTCGTATAGATCATGCCAAAAGAAAGAAGGGATAGCCTTAACATACCTGGACCGATTCTCTTGACAATTCCTCTAACACACGTCTTTTGCGAAGAACACATAACGGCGGATCAAAGTAGGAAAAAATCTGTATGATATTCTTGAGAAAGATTGCATCGTACTCCCTTAGAATCACAAAATTCCGTTGTTATAACATTACGAAGTCTCGTTTGAGTGAGAGATTGAAGGAACTCACGTTGCTAGATGAAGCTCACCTTGCTGAAGCCTTTCAGATAGATGTAATACATCTTTATTTTGAATTTAGATATGGATTTTAAGTCTTGGTGGTGTGGGCCCCACCATTCAAGACTTGATGTCACCTGCCTTCTTTAAAATGTGCCACCTTTCCATTAAATTCAAGAGTCACTATATGGCATAGTGGACTGCCACGTTTGTGAGCTTAATCAACTTATCCAAATAAATATTTACTTAATTCCTTAATTGATTTGTTTATCCTCCATTAATCCATAATTATTCGATTATCCACATAATTAGGAATTATCTCAAATTACTTAAAATATTACTCACTTTTAACACACTTTGTACATCTTACTATTATGGTCCTGTGGCACCTTATATGCCACTAGTCCATAAATACCGAATATTTGTAATACTTCTCATACAAAAAAAAAAAAAGAGAGTAATTAAGTAACTTACCCAAAAAAAAATAACAAAATAACAAAAAAG